AAGGTTTTATCTACTGATGCGGTCACTGAATCATTAATGATGATCTTGGAGGATTTGTAAAGAGGCAATACCAAAAAACTAGATATTGATGGAAAATCGTTGGTCATGGAAAAAACAGATGATGCTTAAATTAATTTACAACAGATTCTAGGGTTAATAAATAGACAACTTCAAATTACAGTGTTTTCTGGTGGTTTCTGTATTATACTAACTTTCACACAGACAAGTTGAAAGAACAATACATACCTACATCTGAGTCAACAATTAACAGTTTAGTATAGTTCATCTCTAAACATGCACACACACACAAATACGCACACTTTCTGTTTACCCATTTGGAAGCAAACTGTTGATAATATGGTACTATAAATCTAAAATTTTTTGCATGTAATTCAGTATTTAGGAGTTATATTATTCTCTTCCATGTGCACACTATGTGTGTGTGTGTGTGTGTATACTACTATTATATACTACTATATAATATACTACCATTATATTCCCACAACATTAGTTTTCGCATGTTGTAATTTCTCTAAAAAATTCATTCTCTGGAGTATAGACTTCAGAATATCTTTTGGGGATTTTAAATTTTGTATGTCTGAAAAACCCTATTTTTATCTTCATTCTTATAAATATATTTTATGAGGTTACAGATAGATAATTTTTTCAAGCACTTCACAATACTGTCTCACTTTATTCTACTTTTGATGTTAAGATGTTTGCTGATTATGACAACTAATTTTATATATCAACCTGCTTGACCTACAAGGTACCCAGATATTTGATTAAACATTACTCTGGGTGTATTAGTGATTATGGATAGTGATATGATTATGGATAGTGATTATAGATGATATTAGCACTGAATTGATAAAGCACATCGCTCTCTCCACTTTGGTTGGACCTCATTCACCCACTGAGAAACTGAACAAAATGAACACATGAAGTAAGGGAGATTTTGCTCTCTCTGCCTTTTCTCAGTTGAGACATCAGTGTTCTGTCTTTGGAATCAGACTTAGACTGGAATTGAAAACACATTGGCTCTCCTGGTTCTCAGACATGGATTCAGACTGGAATCACACCCACACCATCGGCTCCCCTGGGTCTCTAATTTGTTGAAGCATTAGGACTTCTCAGACTTCAAAATTATGTGAGCCAATTCATTTAATACACACACACACACACACACACACACACACACACGTATGTATTTATATGTGTGTATATATACACATTTATATATGTATATATACATTTATTCATATATATGCGTACACACACACACACACACACACATATATATATATAGAGAGAGAGAGAGAGACTGCAAAAATGCCCTAAAAAATGAAATTAAAGTGTAAATTTATTTTAGTGCAAAAACTTTTTGATTGGTTCTGTTTCTCTCAAGAACCCTGACTAAATACATTATGGTGTAACTGTCATTGTAGAGAGACTTTCTTTTTTTTTTTTCCAGCTTATTTTGATAACTTATTTCTCTGGTGTTCTAAATGTCATTACAAGCTTCCCAGATATCTTCTGTTTATCATTATTAGGATTTGTTAGGATTACTAATTTAACACTTTCATTAACTCTGGAAAATTATTATTTCTTTGAATATTCAATTTCATCCCTTATTTTCTTGGTAAATTCAATTAGATATATAAGATGGACTCTCTCATTGTGCTGACTTTGTCTCTCAACCTTTCCTTCATATTTTCCATCTCTTTGTCTCTGTACCATATTCTGCATAATGCCTTCAGATCTATCTTCTAGTTCACTAATTCTCTCTTTAGCTGTATCCAATCTCCTACATAATCCACACACTGAGTTTTATTTCCAATTATTATGTTTTTCAATCATAAATAATATACCTGGTTCTTTCTTCAAGTTTACTTTATTGTATTATAGAATCATATTACTTAGTTATTTAGAGGCATGTTACAATAATTAAAGTAAAAACCATAATACTGTCACAAAAAGAGAACTTATTTATTTCTAGTATTTTTCTATGGTATGTTAGTTATGTTACATTGTACTGTGATATGTTTGCTTAACATGCAACAAGAAATTTTCTCATTAAAATTCTATAAGTTTAAAATAAATTAAAATAGCTTCATTATTTTTTTCAAATACATTAATTTTAAAAATTATAAATAATTCCAATATCTTAATTCTTTACAGTCTTATTCTATTGTTTATTATTTCTGTAGACTCTATTCCATGGTGTTTATTGCCCTGTATGCTTTTTGATGGGAGATTCTGACATTATATTTTTAAAACGTTTACTTGAAGGATCAGCAGATGGTGTCATGGTTATGTCACTGAACTCCTGCATGGCCAACTGCAGTTCAAGTCCCAAACCCAGTGTCTTAAAAATCACACTGGGCATGTGTGCCTGCATGCCCAAGATTCCAGGAGGAAAATGGAGAAGAGATCATGGCATGACCATCCCCCCTAAGGAATGATTTCTCACTTTCCCTCACTTTTCCTCTCATTATCCCTGTTTCTCTCTGTTACAGGTGAGTGCATGTGCCCTAAGGCAAAAACCTCTTTAAAAAAATAAAAACAAATAAATAAAACCCCTTTTTCCTAGAAGTTACCTGAAACCTTAGGTAAAGTGTTTTCTACATAGGCTCTAAATCTGCCTCTGCTGGGTATCTGAGCAACTACCAAAAGCAGTATTGCTTTTTTCAAATTGTATGCACTACAAAATTACAAACTTGAAAACTTGTGTAGGTTGTACTTTTACCCCTAAATTATCAAGAGTGCCTCTTTTTGGGAACCAGCAGTTAGCATAATGGCTATGTCGCTGGACTCCCACGTAGTCGACCGTGGTTCACGTCCTGGACCCGGTGGCTTAAACCCACAATGGGCACGTGTGCGTGCATGCCCAAAATCCTGAGAGGAGAATGGAGGAGAAGGGATTGCGGCATGACCATCCCCCCTGGGGGGTGATTTCTCACTTTCTGTCTCTCTCTCTCTCTGTCTGTCTGGTGAACACACGCGCCCTATAGTGAAAACCTCTCCAAAAAAAAAAAAAAGAAAAAAAGAAGAGTGCCTTTTCCACCCTTTCTACCTAAGGCAAAGCCAAGACTGGCAAGTCCTCCTACCGTCTTCCTTCAGAAGTTAGGGGTGGCTGTTACCCTTTTACTAAGCATCTCATTCTGGGGACTCCACCTGATTGTCATCTTGAGTCATTTCTAAAGTTCTTTCCTTATCTCCATGACATGGCTCTTTAAGTCAGAAGTTGTGAGTAACTTAAAGTTGTGAGGAACCCAGGTTAGCCTCTGAGTGAAGCACCCCTTTGCCTACCCAGATTTGGGGTTTCTCATTGTTCTGGGCTTACAAAGAAATATCTTACTTATTTGCCAATATAGATAGTCACGTCAAAAGAGTTTTGAAAATATTTTATCCTACATTTCAGAGAGTATATTAGGGTTTTTAAAAGGATAAAAAGTCTTCCATAATGCCAGAAAAGTAAGTTCTAGCCTTAGTTTCTACTTAATTTAATTCAAGTAATAGCAAAGTTTCCATGTCATTAGGTCACACACACACACACGCATGCGTGCATGCACGCATACACACACACACACACACACACACACACAAATCTAATAGTAACTGCATTATTCTTTAAGACTTACTTTAACTCACGAGTCCCTATTTTTGCTTGATAATAGAAAACAATCTTGCTATTCAAAGTAGAATAATTTACTTCCACATTAAACTTTATTTCCTAGGGTAAGTTTTCAAACTTCATGATCATCTACAGGTTTCATTCACCCACATGGCAAGACCTAACACTAAGGCTCAATATTATGTGCGGCCCTGACATCTGATAAAATTGGGCCTAATCACAAGTTTTCTTCTCCACTCAGCTCTCATTAATAAGGCTCTCTTGTTAAACAATCCTCCTTATCAGAGGAAAAAGGCACAGTCCCTGCTTATCCCTGAGTAACAGGTTTCATTTCTGTGCCCCCACAATGCAAATATTCAAACAAGCTAATCATATCCTCTTGCAGGAACCTAGGGGCACCGCCCCCTCTTGTTCAACTCCCACAGCCCCTAGTTGTTCACTCTATTCCTGATTACAACTCTCTTGTGGCTTTGTCTAGCCCATGGTATTCTTCTCCTGGGGCTATGAGTATATGAGGGAATGCCAAAAAGTTCATGGGAAAATAAAGTAAAAAATTTATTTCGATGCAAAATTTTTAAAATTCATGCACAATTTTTTCATATTAAGCATTTTCCATTTCTGTTTTGAAGACTTCTCATAGATGACTGATAAACCATCACAATCGCATCTGTCGAGTGTTGGGCATTAGGCATTCAGCTATCTCTGAATCCCCAGTACAGGAACCTCAGCTTCACCAAGTGGTAAATAGCAATAAAGAACATTAGTGTCAAAAACCACATCACATGCCAATGCATGAAGACTGGAGACACATGTTCAGCTTAAATTAACCACTCTGGGCTAACTGGTTCTAAGATATGGTGAAGGTTGCTTTACACAAAACTGTTTACTATTGAGAGGCTTGAGCTAAGGCATGGGTGGCAATGTGTTGTCTTTGTCAGTCATTGCCACCTCTGTACACCCTACAATGCTATTGTCCCCAACATAAAATCTGTTGTTAACTGTACCCTGGTGTGACGAACTGAAATGACAAATTCAGTCTGTGTTCA